TGCTTTCAAAACCTTGCTTTTATTAATCGTTTTTCAAACGCTTGTGTATTTTAACCTAAATCCCCTGCTATGTGAGCCTTACTTATCTACTTGCTAATTGCACAAATTCACAAAAACTGTCTGGCCGGGAATTACACTAGTGGATCTTGAGGGGTGCCTAACACCTTCCCCTTAGGATAATTGCAAGCCCTTACCCTATCTCTGGTTATCAAACGTAGTTGTAGATAAACCCTGTAGGTGCCCTAACGCACCTTATAAATCATTAGGTGGCGACTCTTCAAAAAAATGCAATACCCAATTCCCAAAAGGAAATGAGTCATTACACCTGCATGAATGTCGAAACCCGAACTGCTCTCCGCGGAGGGAAAGAGGGGGCGCGACAAATATATATTCATGTGAAATGTGTAGTTCATTTATAATTTTAGCAGTAAAGCTAGAGATTTTTTAGTCGTCGAATAGGATATGAAAAAAGGGTAGGTTTGAAGTATACAACAAAGAAGAACAAAAAGTGATCTAATTAATATCAATGAGAAGTTACATTTAATTGTTTTTCTTTTTTCCATTTATTTTCTTTGTCTGTTTCTTTTGTCTCCTCCCCTTTTTATTTTATTTTTCTACATCTCAAGAAACGGAAGAAATAAAATGTGAAGCATAAGTGTCAACAAGTCATACTAAGAAATGAAATACTACGAATTATTCATGGATTCTGTTTTATAAAAAATTTATAATATTTTTAATTAGTAATGATCAATTTTCTTTATAAAAGTAATGACATTCAAATTTAACTTTATTTTAATTCTTTTAACGACTGTGCGAAGCGCGGGTAAATACACTAGTATATATGATGAATTCTCTTATCATTGTAAAATTCAGTAAATATGATGAATTCTCTTATCTTCTTTGCGTGTTTACTTTTTTATTTTTTGAATGATCTCGATAAAAATTCTGTCTTCGTTAGTAGTACTAGACCTGCAAGAGTCCGGCTCTTTCTTCCGAAACGTATTTTAATTAAAAAAAAGTCATTCGGGCAGTTCGAATTGAAATGAAAATTTCAATTTGGATTTTTCATTTTCAGATTGAATAACTGACAATCCAAATCCAATCCAAATAAGCTCAGATTGGATCGGTTTTTCAAGTTAATTCCGAATTTTCAATTTTAAGCCTATAAGTTAAGATGTTTCTTCTTCTTATAAAATAAACATTCAAATGAACTATTCATGTTAAATTGCCTACAAATTTTCTTATACTCACCTCAATTATCCAAATAAAATATTCAAATAACGAAATCATCATCAAGAAAATTCAACAGAGATATTAATAATGTAACACCCCGGAAAAATTTTGAAGTACTTAAGCGCTATTAAAAAAGTTAAAGTGTGCTAATTATATTATTTTGTCTGCAAACGAGGGCTATTAATATGATGGATATCAATTGGATATGATAATAAGTGTATGAGGCATATTATAAGTGATTTGGGGTCTACGGAGAGGCCTAAGTCCAAGCCAGTTGAAATTTTTTATTATAGACGAAAGTGTCAAATGAGCATGCACAAGACCAAATTTTTCACGAACATATCTACATATATATAACGATTTATATGATACAAAACCTATCAAATGAAAGATCTTCGAGTCTTGTTTCTAACGCTTCAAACCGTTCGTCATTTGGACACCCCTACAAGAAGTTATGGCCAAATTACCAAACGCTGCCGAAAATTGTACTACCGCGCCGCCCCACGCACCGCACTTGTGGGGAATTCCAGAATGATCCGAAATTTCATTTCTAGACACATTTTGCACAGCCATCGCGCGCCCCGTGGCACCCAACGCGTTGCAGCTATCCAAAAAAGGGTTTTTAAGACCCGAACCCCATTTCATTTAACTCGTTTGGGGTTTGTTTTTTTGGGATTTGCTGGTGCTTTTAGAGAGAGGGAAGAGCAATTCTAGAGAGCGGAAGAAGCTCGAGTGCCTTGTTCATCAAAAATCTTGTCCAATCCTTGAAATCCAACAAGAAATCCCTCAGCCTTGCTAGAGAAGTAGCGCAACATAATCACGATATGCCAGAAAGAAGGATGAATCGGCCAAGGGTAACTTGATATCTTTTGCAGAAGTCAATCACCATTGGATCAAGGGGACTCAGTGTGAAGGGGTAAGTGTAAACACTTAAGAACCCCTCCACATAAGTAGTAATGCTCTCCTCAAGGTCGGGGATCTGTACCACGACCTCGTTCCCCCAGCCACAGTCTTTCTTCATGGCCTTGAGATGCTTCTTCATTATCGAATTAATATATCGGGATACATGTTCGCATCGGCCTAAGATTGCGGGGGGATTTTCAACGTTGAAGTCTTTCTTTATCACGCAGGGGCCGGGAATGATCTCGTGAACGGCCGGCGTCGCGAGTTTGGCTGGCCGGGAAGAGGAAGAGGAAGCTTTCTCCTTTTGGGGAACTGTCTTTGAAGTTTTCGCCATTAATTCGAGTTCGAAGAAGCGGAGATAGGCGGAGTTTGGTATTTTCTGACACTAAAAGGAACGGGAGTAACGGATAATGAGGGAAAAGAGATGAATAAAAGGAGATACAGAAGAAGTTCAGAGGTGGTTTGAAGATTGGAGTAATGATTTCTCCGAAATTAAACCTTGTATTTATAGGTGAGCGGCGATGGTTCAACGGCGCGACCACCACTGGAGAAGCATTTAATTTTTTGGGGAAGCGAACCGACGGGACGTTTCAATCACTTCGAGCGCCTACGTCATGAGAATGACGTCATCATCAAGGGCTCCGGAAAATCAAGGTTCAAATCGTTTCTTGTCATTTTACTCTAAGAAATGCGTGGATATCTGTATACGGTAAAATCATGTATTCCCAATTTTGTGGGATCGAGGGCTCACATCGGGGATTAGAGGGCTCGCATCGAGGGATAAACTCAGTATGGACTGGGTTCGAGTTCGAGGGCAGAAAATAAGACTCGAAGATCGAAGTGCACGATGAGTACCGAAGCCGAGTATGACCAACCTCGAGATGGAGCTGTTATGGGTTTCTAACAGAAAGAGCAAGATTCTCGCCATGTCCCCAATATCATGGCATAAATACCGAAATAGATTTGTACGAGTTAGTACTAATCCGTACTAGGCGGTTAGATAGTTGTCCCAATGAGATTCTTTACTGTAAATAGAAATGTACCTTATTTAGGGTTCCCCTATTATATAAAGGGGACCCCAATCATTCGTAATCATCAATCATTGGCAGAAGAATATACTCTCTTACTTTCTTGCTCAATACTCATCAGAATTGTCCTTTTAACTTTACTGTTCTTACTTTATTGTTCTTGACCTACCTCGAGGCCACCTTAGCTCGAGGTCGAGATTGGCTTGCATTCCGGTTTGGTTTTGCTTGCTTCTTTTATTCATACGTCAGCTTTCTTGGTTATTAATTAGTATTGAACTAAATCACATATCTGTAAGACCATAAACAAGTTTAGTTGTTACTCGTATTTTCGAGGTAAACAGTATCGTTAGTCTTTAGCCTCAAGCTTAGTAAAGTAGATTTTTTTAGGAATAGTGATAATTAGTGTCTGTCTGGTTTTGGAAGATTCGTTGCAGGAAGGATGGACATTACGTACAATGCCAAACACGATGAGGCATTTTATAAGCCTTTTATAAAGAAGGAAAACTTTAGTGTTCTTCTGTTGAACTGAACTTGAAATGAAATCCAAGAATATTAAATGGTAGCTTGAAACCTAACTGGTTAAAACTTTATTCTATGATACTTTTCTTACATTTTTAATTCATTACACTTTATTCTATGATACTTGTAGCTTTATTTATTCTATGATATTTTTCTCAAATTGACGTTATTTCACGTTAGTAGTATACGAAAGCCCTAATCTATATATAGTACTAAAACCTTTTCAGTTTCGACATCATTTTCCCATTGACTTTTGTATTTTACATTTAAAAATCCATTCCTCTTCCACTATATTTCCAGCACCCCTCTCTCATATCCTTCAGAATAGTCAAGCAGAGAAGAACTTAATTAGAAGAAAATCAGCTCAATTAACACTCCAATCATTCCATTTTGACTATATAAATAGTCAAACCAAAGAGGTAATTAACTTCTAGATTTGTCATTCTATGTAAACCAAACAACAGCCTCACGTAAAAATGCTAGATAAGCCTGCATATAGTAGATCCAATATGGTTGGACCCTTATCCGAACTACACGCATAGCGTGAACTTAATGCAAAGAGACTACCCGTTAATTATTTGTCATTCTATGCTATAAACAAGATATACTATAGTAATTTTAATTGTTATATACAACATCCTGTTGAATTGTCGCACACCGGGTGGGATGTGGTAACTTGGTCTTCTTATTTTCTTTTGGAAACCAAATCTTTCAAGTGAAATATTTATAAATCAACAAGACCAAAACTCAGTATATTGTACCAAAAGATAAATCACTCAAACTATTAAGACTCAATTGGAGTATATGAAATATCCACACCTCACTTATATGTTAATTTCTTTAACATGATATCAAAGCCAGACTCATCATAATTTATTATTTACCTGATGTTGGGAACAAATTAGTTCGTTCAATCTAAGAATTAGAATTTCTAACAGGATAACGTACAAGACATCTAGTTTTCTTTTCATAAGAAAAAATAACACGAGATTTTGTTTTTTACTTTTTATCTTTACTTTTCAAATCAAATTCTGAAATGAATTGGATTAATAATAATAGTTTTGATGCCATACCATTTTAAACTGATATCTGTTGCTGGTAGGAATTATATACAGTTCAAGAAAGTAATTAAATAGGCCAGGGATGTCACACTCTATTGAGATTCCCCCAATAGATCACCCAACTCCACTGCTTCGTCAAGCAACAAAAGATGAGGTCTCTCTCTTTCCCAACACAAACTTTCATTTTATTTATTTATTTATTTATTTATTTATTTACTTATTGTATTTTTGTACAAAAGGAAACAAGGTAGCAAGCATGAATGGTCACTCGTTTATCACTTGTTAAAAATTATAATTTTTTAATATATATATATATATATATATATATATATATATATATTAAAAATATTTATACTATTATATTTTGTTTTTGTTTTTTTAGAGTGAATTTATTGTGCGAAAAGTGATGATATTGCGAGCGAGTCTCATAATCTTTTATTAAAAGTGTTAGTTTTTTGAGCAACTCAAGCATATTAAACTCTTTTTAATAAGATAAAAAATAATTTTATGATATTATTTTTCTAACACTAAAGTTCAATAACTATCTACAAAAATAACCCAAACTTTTTTAGTAGCAAATTACAAAAATTGACTAGTCGAAAACTAATTGCATTCGCGAAAATTATATAAACTATATGTTTTATGTAATTTACGTAAGTATAAAAAATATATACTATATTTAATCAATTATTATTTTTAGAAGCGATTAAAAATATATAATTCTTTTGTTACTCTCATATGTATGATAATAATCAAAGTAGTATATTAGTGTAAAGAGGAGGCGGCTTGGGGGGAAGTACTGAAGGGTAGGTGGGTTGATATTGAGTGGCGCAGGGTTGAGGTTTCACTTGACCTTTTATTATGTGGTCATAAAGAATGGATTTTCTAAAAGCTAAAAAGTAACAAAGAAAAGGGAAAAATGAAATTAAATCAGGCAGAAAAGAAGGAGAAAGAAATAGAAAAAAAAGGAAAAAGGAAAAAGAAAAACGCAAAGCTAGAATTAGTAGAGCAGTAGAATAGCAGATAGATAAACATACTGATAGATATTTAGATATATTGAGATAGGAAAAACACACAAAAATTAAAAATTAAAATTAAAACCCTCTCTCTCTCTCTCTCTCTCTCTCTCTCTCTCAGCTAAGACATCGAAGAACAACAGCGAAGCAGAAGAATTCTCATATCTTTTTGCCTTTGTATTTTTTCTGTTATGTACACTTTTTGACTCCTTTTGTTCTTCAATAGTATAATTTTTGTTTTTTTTTTAATTTTTTTTATCTCTGCTGTGTTATTGTTGAATCTGAAAAACNGAAAGTGGATCATACCAATAAATCTGCAAATCAAATCTTTGAGGAAAAAGTCAAGGAAATGAGCAATTCGTCTATCAAGTCCACTACCATATTCAAAGTAAATGTAGGATTACGTGAATCAAATCCAGATGCTTATACCCCAAAGATGATCTCCATTGGTCCTTACCATAACAAAAAACCTCAACTTGGCTCAATGGAAAAATACAAACTGTTGTACCTACAACGGTTTCTCAAGCGGAAAACGGAGATTGATGTGAAAAGTTGCATTAGTGAAATTGAGAAACTAAAAGATGAAGCACTAAAGTGTTACGACGATAACCTTGACAGTGACATTGTTGTCAAATTTTCACAAATGTTGTTGCTTGATGGCTGTTTTATAGTTGAGTTTATTCGAGAGCGTTGTGGAAGGAAACCAAGAGAAGAAGACGAAATCATCAACAGGGAATGGATGATGGTTCAAGTATGTCGAGACATGTTATTACTAGAAAACCAACTACCTTATTTTGTACTCACCATGTTACATGAAATGACTAAGGATCCTACAGAACCAAACTTGATAAAGATGGTGAATTACACATTCTTTGATCGTTCCCAAATAAGAATCCCAAAATAATTGATGGTACTGCGCCTCAACAACCAGACCATTTACTTCATGTGTTACATATGTTATCTCGCCCATCAAAAATGAAAAATACTAGCAAAACCACGAATGGTAGCACCCGAAAGGAATGTTGTAACATAAGTTTTTTGGGGAAAATTTTGCAAATAATTAGGTCAAAAGAAATTCCCGACGAAGTTATAAGTGGTTGGCAATGCTGCCAAATTCCAAGTGCAACAGAACTTTATGAAGCTGGAGTCTAGGAGCTTTGGGAGAAGATAGTATGGATAGAACAACTTTATTCGATATCAAGTTTAAAGATGGATTGTTTGAAATCCCTTGTTTTGCAGTTGAGGATACATTGGAAACTTTCTTGAGAAATATGATAGCTTATGAGCAGCACTCGTCTAGTTTACATCTAAGATACTATACGGATTATGGTTGGATAATGAGTCAACTTATTGTCTCACATAAAGATGTGAATCTTCTTCGCCAAAATGGAATCATACTTAACGAGATAGGACATGACAAACAAGTGGCTACCATCTTCAACAAACTTACACAAGGGGTCATTATTTCTACTAATGACTTCTACTGCAGTGAAGAATGCAGCAAAATAATTCAACATTATGAAAACCCATGGTATCAAATGATGGCAAAATTGAGGCACAATTACTTTCAGAGTCCTTGGGCTGGAGCTTCAACTGTTGCAGCAATCGTGCTCCTCTTACTCACAGTTATGCAGACAGTTCTATCTTTCATAAGTGCTCTTAAGTAAAAAAAGATGGGCAGTCTGGTGTACAAAGCATTCCGTATTCACTAGGGTCCGGGAAAGGGTCGCGCCCCAAAAGGTGCGACGTAGACAGCCTACTCTAATAAATGTTATTAAATAGTTGCTTTAATTAATTGTATTCTTTAGTTTATTGGTTTGTTAATCCTTCCAGTCTGGTTTTCCTTACTATTATTTGTGCTTTTGACGGTTTTAATATTGTAGCCAATCCAAGTTTGCATATTATAAATGTGAGAAACGTGCTCCATCTTTAATAAATGGAACATTTTATTTTCTGGCAATGAAATGATTCAATTTATCAAGTTAGAAAGTCAAGAAATTATTGCATGTGAAGAACTGAATGCGTATATTCCTCTTCATATGTTGTACGGTTTAACTCTGAAATGTATATAGGTCTTTGTTAGTGTGTATATCTCTTTTACCATATTAACCTAGGATTTGTTGTATACTACCCTCCTAAGTAAGGGTACTCTTGTCCTCTGTACTTATATACTTTGCTATAAACAATTAAACATAATGGTATAACCCCAGGGCATAACTATGGGGCAGTATTCTATCATAGTACACTCATTCTATATTAATTTTCCGGATTAATTACCACGTTAATCAACCAGCTGACAAATCAAGTCTTATGTTTTAAGCATCCAAGGATGTAACTTAACGGTCAATGAAACTGAAATAAACTAGTGGAGACGTGAAGACGTGAATGGACATGCCAAATATGTCAATTAGGATCTTCATTCACCTCAGTAAAAATGACGACCTTGTACATTATTCGACTAATAAAGTAGTAGTAGCCTACATTATACTGCAATAATATTGTATTTATACACAGTATAAACTACTTCATCTGAGCTACATGACTACTTATTCTTTGCAACTAAGTTATTTATTGAATAACCTCGTACATTTCTTTTTCGAGTGGTTGTCTTATGGCTGTCAAACGTTTAGGAGAGTACTAATTAATGAGTCAGTAAAATGGTAATGTGGCATACTGTTTCTACTCAAAATCCTTATCTCTTACATTATTGCGCTAAAGTTAATACTATATTTGTGACGAAAAAGTCACTTAACTTAACTTGAGTATCACGAATGTTATTAAGCTACTTTTTAAAACTAAAAAGTCATTTGATTTTACCTAAGCATCACATAAGAATGTGAAAATTATAAAAATAGTGTTAATCTCCCGTCTACTACAAAAAATTAGTAATGTGAAAGACAACTGTTTCTGCTGCAACCAAGCTAATTTTTGTGATAATATAGTTTCCCCATTATGTTGAAAACTCGTAACGTAAAAAAGCAGTTAGTACGCTGCAAGCAGAGCCTGTTCATGTAATAAGATAGTGTCACCACCCATTACAATTAGAAACTTGTATGTAGGGGTGGCAAACGGGCAAGTCGAGTCGGATGCGGGACGGGTCGAAAACGGGTAATGTAAAAAAGAATAAATTATCCGACCCGACCCATATTAATACGAATAAAAAATGGATTACCCTACGGATAATATGGATAATCATATTATCCATGGCTTCTTGAATATGATCACTTTTGGGAGAATTCCTTGTCTCTCAAACTTGATAAACCCCCAATTTTAAGGTTTTACAAACGTAAAAGTTAAATCCATTGGTTATCCATTTTTCAAATGGATAATTTGGTTCTTATCCATATTTGACCCGTTTTTAAATAGATCATTATCCAACAATGGATAATATGGGTGGATAACTGTCTTCTTTTATCCATTTTGCCATCACTACTTGTATATGTGAAAGCCTGCTGGTCTACAATTGAAAAGTATGTGAAAGGCAACCAGATCCTGTTATTAACTGATTAAACACAATTATATATATATATATATATATATATATATATATATATATATATATATATATATATATTTGCCGGTTATATTTAGTTTTAGTAGTTGGATGAGATTATTTAAGTTAATTTTTTTGAAAATTTGATATGTGAAAGGCAGCTAGTCCAATGCAATTAGAGTCGGTTGTAATAAAATAGCGACACCACCCTGCTATTTTCTATTAGAAACTAATAACGTGAAAGGCAGTTGGTCCGTTGACTTTAGGATAATGTACTTTAGTATGAAATGATGTCAACTATTTCAACTTGACAATTCAATGCACCTCACTTCATTGACTTGATCAATAGTCAAATCTGCACCATTATTATGCCTAACTCATTTTCTGATCAAAATTCCTTTCCATCTTAAGACATTATGGATAATCAACTTCCGCTTAATTATTATATGCAAAAGTTATTTTATAATCAACGCACCTTCCCATCAATAGGCAATTGGGAGGAGCTTTAAAGGCATAAGTTGCATAAGTTGAAAAAGTTACGTTTGCAGTAGGCAAAAGGCTCTTAATGATTTATTGAATCCTAATCTCATTCCTCTTATAAATCTGCAGCCCCCTCTTATTCTTCAGGATCACAAACAAGGAAAAAAGAAGAAGTCAAACCAAAGAGGTAACTTTATGCATTTCTCAATATTATATTCTATGCTTGGCACCAAAATTTTTGGGCTAAACCATCTCAAAGACATTTTTAACATAGTGTAATAATATCCGTTTGAGTCAAACTCGCATCATTTTTACAGAAGGCTATATAAATTAAGAGTATCTTTACACTTAATATGTAGACGTTTATTTATCCTCATACCTTATCTGATTTAGGCCGAGCCCGCTCTGTTTTTATGTTGAATTCATAAACTTCCATAAGGTGGGATGATCTAAAATGAAGATACAAATAAATTTAGAACATGTATGATCCAGATGTAAGTTTGAGATATGGAAAAAGATAATGTACACCAGCTTCCTTTTTCACTTGATGTCCAAACTCTTGATTTAGCTCTTTTACATTTATAAATTTTAGATTTTAAAATGTTATGATCAACCATATGCAACATATATCATCCTTATAAGGAAGATGAACCTCTTACATACAAGGAAGCTTTGTAGATATATATGTATATATCGTTGTGTTACATTGAAATTGTGTACTATTATACTTTTAAATATTTCTTTCCATCAACATGTAGCAACAACGAATATGAATTGAGGAAAGGAGTTTGATACAGTACCGTTGATTAAAAATTCTCTCTCTCTTTGTTGTTGAATTAAGGTTTGAAGAAAATTACCTAATTAGAGGAATGGCAGACCATATTGAGATTGTCACGATAGATGATGAAGTTCCACTACTACTCCATCAAACTCCTCTAATTATTGATGCAAAAGGATGAGGTATGTGCTATCAAATTAAAGTAGGAATATAGATCACTTAACCATTATTAAGGGTACATATTTGGTAGCAAGGAACATATTTTCTTGGAAAATAAGGAAAACCGCTTAGACAATATTGACTTACTATTTTCTGCTCACTGCTTAGTATTTGGTTACGGGTTCGAGCCGTAAAAACAGTCTCTTGCAAAAATGCAGGGCAAAACTGCGTACAATAAACCCTTGTGGTCCAACCCTTTCCTAGCCCCCGTGCATAGTGCGAGCTTAGTGTAGCGGGCTGCCATTTGCCCTTTTTGCTCAGTATTTGGTTAGTTTAATTTTTTATTTTGAAAATTTTCTGTCTTTTTCTGAATTAAGAAAGGGAAAATCTTCAGTCTATAGAGTTTTGTTTTGTCTGATCATTATACAGTGACAATTTATGTGGAAAAAAAAGAAGAAAAAATATGACTTTTTTCCACTAATTACAGATAAAAGAAGAAGTGGATCATTTAACCGAGATTAAGGAAAGAGATGGTCAAGGTCGACCAGGTTTGCAAACAAACAAATCTGCAAATCAAATCTTAGATGAAATATATGAGGACATGGACAATTTGGCTATCAAATCCCCCACCATATTCAAAGTAAATGTGGCGTTACGTGAATCAAATCCAGATGCTTATACACCAAAGATGATCTCCATAGGTCCTTACCATAAAAAAAATCAAGAACTTCACTCAATGGAAAAGTACAAACTGTTATACCTACGACGGTTTCTCCGGCGGAAAGAGGGGCTTGACGTGGAAAGTTGCATCAGAGAATTGGAGGAACTGAAAGATGAAGCGCTAATGTGTTATGATGAAATAGAGGACCTTATTGATAGTGACAACAACACTGGTCAATTTTTGAAAATGTTGTTATTTGATGGTTGTTTTTTGGTTGAGTATATTCGAGAGCGTTGTGGAATAAAGCCAACAGCAGAAGACATGATTATACCTGGAGGTTGCCTAGATAATCAAGTAAGTCGTGACTTGTTGTTACTAGAAAATCAACTTCCTTTCTTTGTCCTTACCAAACTTCATGATATGACAAAAGAAGAAACTGATGAATTACCATTTACAAAAATGGTGAAGTGGATCTTTTTTCATGATTTACCGAAGCTGACCCCTGCATCCTTTAATGAGAGTGTAAGTAATACCGCAGAAATCAAGCATTTACTTCAAGTAATACACATGTCATGTCACCCTTCAGAGATGAAAACTAATAACCTAACTGGCAATATTAGCAAGGAAGCAGAACATTCCAGGAAAAGCTTATGCTGTAATCTTTTGCAAATAATTAGGTCGAAAGAAATGCCAAAAGATAAGGACAACCTGACATGGCAAGACAACATGCCAAACGCTACAGAGCTTCGTGAAGCTGGAGTTGGATTTTCAAAAGTTGGAAATATTTATACTTGCTTGGCGAAAGACAACCTTGGAGATAGCACAAGTTTATTTGATATTAGATTTGAGAATGGATTGATGACAATTCCTTGTTTTAAAGTCAGCGATAATACAGAGACCGTCCTGAGAAATTTTATAGCTTATGAGCAACAGTCACCTGATATAGATCCTAAATATTTCAGTGAATTTGCAGTTTTCATGGATCATCTTATCGACTCAGAAAAAGATGTCACTCTGCTTCGCGTGAAAGGAATCATCGCCAACGACATAGGAGATGACAAAGAAGTGGCTAACTTATTTAATAAAATTGGGAAGGGGGTCGGTATTTCATCAGACTTCCATTACAAAGAAGTATGCGGAAAAGTACTGCAACATTGTGAACAACCATGGAACAGAATGAAGGCAAGTTTGAGGCGCAATTATTTTCATAGTCCGTGGGCAGGAGTTTCAACTGTGGCGGCCGTCAT